CTGACGGTGCTGACCACAAAGTTCCTCAGCGAGCGCTTGTTGAACTCGTAGCTGGCGGCTTTGCGCTGCGAAAGCCAATGGTCGCCGTCGGAGTTGAAGATGCCGTGACCGAGCAAGTCCTCGATCACGGACACCACGAACTCGCCCTTCGGGTAGTTCTGAAAGTTGGTCTTGGCGACGTACTCGACGTTGGCCGGGTTGGCCGTCATGACGCCGGCCCCGAGGCCGAGGCCCCTGAAATTGAAGGTCATGGTGTAGGTGGGGCAGCGCGCGAGGACGCCGGCCGACCACTCGATGAGGCGGTGCTGGTTCTTGACGAAGTGGGGGAGCGTGCCGATGATGGGGTAGGCCTTGAGGCCGTCGGAGCGAGTCTGCCTCCTGGTGTCCCGGCGTAGCCAGAGGAAGCAGAGTAGAGGCAGGAGCAGGAGGAGGGCCGTGGTCAACGGAAGCTCCATGGCGATCGGGATCTCAAGCTTGCCAGTGCAAACTGTAGGGAGTGAGTTGGCGCTCCGTGCTTGGCAGTTACAGCAAAAGGGGAAGATTCGCAGTTAGAGTTGTTGCATTCTTTTTATGCTATGTATGTATACCCGTTGTTATTTCTCTTGATTAATCTGGTCTAGTTACTGGGTTTTTAGGTGAATGTGGAAGAGGCGCGGTGGATCATGGTTACAGTCACAGAGGCTTCGTTTTACGTGTTTTCTTCTTTATGATTTTCATTATGGTTTGCATCCTACCATTAAGAAAGGTGAAGCGGTGATGGCTCTCGCGGTGTGCTTAACGTCGTCGGAGATCGTGTGAAGGCGTGTCTTCGGTGAATCTCCGCAGATTCGGTTGGTGTTTGCAAAGGTGTAGCCGGGTTGGGAGCACGCCCTCAATCGGCAGCCTAGCTACAGTAGGCAGAGCAACTCCAACACACCGACTCAAACGGAAGGCGCTTTTGTTTGCTTTTCTTCAGTTTCGGTCGCCCGCCCCGTTTGAGATTTGGGTCGGCAGTGTGCCCAACGCGCCGACCCATTTCTAGTCCGTACGCAAATTTTTGAAAAGGCCCGCGGCCATAGTTCATGCCAGCGGACATGTCGTCGCCCGTAGTTCATGTCGGCACCATGCCAACGCCGACATACAATGCCAACTTCAGAAAACACTACACAGTTCGGCTGGCGCACTTGCCAGCGGCCGGCATACATGCCAGCACACAAAAAGGGGCGAGAGTTTGACCATGCCATCACGGCCGTGGTCATGCCAGCACACTTGCCGGCATACAAAAAATGATGACGCTCGCCGCCATAGGTCATTCGTCATCGAACTTGAGCATGTTGGCCTGCATCTTCTCGAACCACTGCCTCTTCCTTGGCGATACGGTGTTGAGATCCACCTTCATGATCTCCACCCCGGTCATCATGCTCGCGAGAGCCACTTCTTTCGCCTTGGTCTTGGCGTTGGCGGCCTCGATCTCTAGCATCTTGGCTTGCTTCTTCGCCTCCATCTCAAGCATCTTGGCTTGCTTCTCCGCATCCATCTCAAGCCTCCTCCTTTGGATCTCCATGAAGGCATTCATTTGTTCTTCTTTGTATCGCCGGCGCTCCTCATCCCTTGAGTCCTTCTTGCTTGTCATGCCCTCCACGCTTGCAATCAAGGCGTTCAATGATGCATCTCGCTTGTCCTCCTTCTTGGAGTTGGTCTTCCCCCTCGGTC